AACACACGCACACATGACTGTAACACACGCACACACATGACTAACAAACGCACACATCACTAACTCACGTACACATGACTGTAACACACACACGCACATGACTGTAATACACGCACACATGATTGTAACACACCCACATGACTGTCACACACACATACTGTAACACACATCGTTCAGGACCCTGTACCCTGTACCTTATACCCTGTACCCTATACCCTGTACCCTATACCCTGTACCCTATACCCTGTACGTTAGGCCCATATTGAAGTATGCAGCACCAGTTTGGATCCCACACTTAGCCAAGCACGCAAGGAAACTAGAAAAAGTGCAAAGATTTGCAACAAGACTAGTCCCGGAGCTAAGGGGTATGTTCTACGAGGAGAGGTTAAGAGAAATCAATCTGACGACACTGGAGGACAGGAGAGATAGAGGGGATATGATAACGACATATAAAATACTGAGAGGAATTGACAAGGTGGACAGAGACAGGATGTTCCAGAGATTGGACACAGTAACAAGGGGTCACAGTTGGAAGTTGAAGACTCAGATGAATCACAGGGATGTTAGGAAGTATTTCTTCAGTCACAGAGTTGCCAGGAAGTGGAATAGTTTGGGAAGTGATGTAGTGGAGGCAGGATCCATACATAGCTTTAAGACGAGGTATGATAAAGCTCATGGAGCAGGAAGAGTGACTTAGTAGCGACCAGTGAAGAGGCGGGGCCAGGAGCTGCGAATCGACCCCTGCAGCAAAAACTAGGTGAGCACACACGCACACATGCACACATGAGTGTAACACACACTGTAACACACACATGACAGTAACACATACATGACTAAAAAACACGCACACATATATGACTGCAAAACACACACACACATGACTGTAACACACGCACACACGACTGTAACACACACACATGACATTAATACACTCACACACACACACGACAGCAAGACGAGTGTTACTCTCAGAGTAAGTGGGAGAAGGTAACCTGTTAAAAGATACACACTCTGGCAGGAGGTTGGTATTGCCTCACTCACCAAGGTAATCTTAACAAACTTAACATTACATTTACCCTCCACTTAATATATTCCATTGATTTTTATTACTTTTCCCGTTTGTTTCTCCGTGGCTTCCCGTTAGTCTCTTTAATTTCCTGTTCGCAGCTTAATACTTCCCCCTTTTCAAGACTTTCCCATTTGTTCCTCAATACGTTCCCGTTTGTCTCTTAAATCTCCCGTTTTTCAACACTTTCCGTTTATATATATTAATATTTTTCCGTTTGTTTCTTAATATTTTCCCGTTTGTTTCTAAATCGTTCTCATTCCTGGATTATTTACTTTTCCAATTTGAGACCGGACAGAGACCGACAATATAAAGACCGACGGGGAAAAGTGCAAATATAACACATATATGTATATATATATATGTATATATATGTATATACATTAATGAACACTGATAATGTTTATAATATCAGTTTTAAAATTAAATATCAGTATTGCTTAATATTATTAATGTTAGTATTAATACTTATATTAATATCATTAATATCGTTATTAATATTATTATTATAATTAATATCGATATTAATATTATTATTACTATAATTAATATCAATATTAATAATAATATTATTATTATTATTATTATTATTATTATTATTATTATTATTATTATTATTATTATTATTATTATTTATTACTATTATTATTATTATTATTATTATTATTATTATTATTATTATTATTATTATTATTATTATTATTAGTAGTAGTAGTAGTAGTAGTAGTAGTAGTAGTAGTAGTAGTAGTAGTATCATTATTATAATTAATATCGGTATTAACAGTATTATTATTATAATTAGTATAGATATTAACATTATTATTATATTTAATATCGATATTAACGTTATTATTAATATTACTATCAATATCGATTTTAACATTTTTATTATAATTAATATCGATGTTAATACTATTATTATTATCATCATTATTATTATTTTTACATCGCATTTACATGTAAATATTATTACCGGAAGTAGCACTTAATACGATATTACCCGCGCCATCGGCATCAATGTCAGTACACGATATTACCCCCAAAAGAGACACAATATTAAGGCGTTGTTGACGCCATTAATGTCACCGAACGATATTATCGCATTTACAATATTACCTCGATATTCCTGCCTCTGCGCAGTATTGTCGCTTCCTCTCCTACGCGATATTAACTTACTAAAAACTAATTATATCGCGATTTTAACTTGTTAATATTAATAATATCGCGATATTATCTTGTTAATATTAATAATATGACGATATTAACTTGTTAATATTAATAAATCGCGATATTAACTTGTTAATATACGTAATATTAACCTGTTAATATAGCGTAGAAATGCGATATTAACACTGTATTAACAGATTACGTTATATTAACACCGGCAAAAGATATTACCAAAATATTAACACAAGTATATTATATTAACACGAGGGTAATATCGTATTATCGGCATCGATATTAACCTTAAATTAATACTAACATGTTATTTAAAATAATACAAGAACACGATATTAACACTAGCTTGCAATATTACCTTCATAATAACACCGCCATCGATAATAATACGATATTAACACTAGACTTTAACAAGAAGTTAACCCCACATGCGATATTAAACTCGATATTAATATCAGTAACGAAATTAACGCTAGTAATAAGATATTAAATGGATATTAACACAAGCAACGAAGCTAACACCAATAGAGCGATATTAACTCGATATTAACAAGAATACTAATATTAACACCAGTGATACGATATTAACGCCAATAATACGACAGTAACTCCAGTAATACGATATTAACCGCAGTAATACGATATTAATACCAGTAATACGATATTAACACCAATACTACGATATTAACACCAGTAATACGATATTAACATAAGTAATACTATATCAACATCAGTAATACGATAATAACACCAGTAATACGATATTAACATCAGTAATACTATATTAACACCAGTGATAAGATATTAACATCAGTAATACTATATTAACACCAGTAATATGATAATAACGTCAGTAAGACGTTATCAACACGATATTTTAACAACAGTAATACGATATTAACATCACGTGGCACTACACGTAGAAATCATCCCCCCCCCCTTGATACAACAAGAGCAACAAATAATACAGCAAATAATACAATAAATAAAATACTTTATATACAGTCAGCTCATACAAGGTGTATATCATCGAGGTGTTAAATTATACACGTAAGTTAACGATGTGTATGTGTGTTTATATATGTGTGTGCATTTGTAATATCAGTAAGTATATAATATATATATATATATATATATATATATATATATATATATATATATATATATATATATATATATATATATATATATATATATATATATATATATATATATATATATATATATATATATATATAAATTACTTATAAACTAAGGAAGAGAAAAAGTGCGTAGGTGGTCACTCACTTCAGGAAGTGTGAGATGCGTCCATAAGCCCTTAAACAAACAAACAAGCAAAAAATAATTGATAATCCAAGGTGAATTTGCGTCATTAACAGAGAGAGAGAAAGAGACAGAGAGAGAGAGAGAGAGAGAGAGAGAGAGAGAGAGAGAGAGAGAGAGAGAGAGAGAGAGAGAGAGAGAGAGAGAGAGAGAGAGAGAGAGAGAGAGAGAAGGGGGGGGGGGAGAGGGACGGAGTGAGAGAGGCAGCAGCATCAGATATCGTTGGTATAGCATGTAAGCTGATGAGAGAGGGATCCACGGGGTTGTTCAGATGGTGAAACTGGTCTACCAGCTGTTGGTAGGTGGGGCACAGCTGGTGAGGTTACCATCTGAGTGCACACCCGTGGAGGCCTTTGTTTCACTCGGTGTTTTTTCTGAATTATAAGGTCAGGTGGTGGAGATGGTGGTGGTGGTGGTGGTGGTGGTGGTGGTGGTGGTGGTGGTGTGGTGGTACTGGTGATGGTGGTGGTGGTGATGATGATGGTGGTGATGGTGATGATGGTGGCGGTGGTGGTGGAGGTGGTGGTGGTGGTGGTGGTGGTGGTGGTGGTGGTGGTTGTGGTGGCGGTGGTGGGGGTGTGGTGGTGGTGGTGGGGGTGGTGGTGGTGCTAGTGGAAGTGGAAAGGGGTGGACGAAGAGGGGAAAAATGGAATGGTGATGACAGTGTAACTAATTTAAAGTCTTTGGTGAGCATCACATCCCCCCTCCACACACACACACACACACACACACACACACACACACACACAAACACCCCAGTACAGCTGCTATTAACACCACCACCACCACAGACCAAAACAGAGACCCAAATATCACGCAAAAAGTCCCAATTTACTGCCAGAAACACGAGAGAAAGAGAGAGAGAGAAAAAAAAAAGAACAAAAATAGAAAAAAAAGTGTTCATCACACCAGGCCAAGCCACTCATCACTAATCATCACCACACAACAAAACTGGCAACGATGAGCCCAACAGTAACCGTGATAAACCCCTTCTGTGGGAGCTTTAGGTAACTTAGCCTCACACTTCCTTTAGCTGAGAGAGGAAAGGCCTCGGTGTGACCCTTGAAATGTATATATATAGTAAAAAAATTCTACGCAAAAAAAGATGTATATATAAATGTATATACACAACTGTATATCTTGATTTGAATGATGGGCTATGACTCTTTGATTTTTATTTTGATTTTTCCCCTTTTGTACAAGAAAAATATCTTAGGTTTTTGTTCAGGTACTATTATATACTTTTTTTTGAGTAATTTTTTTTTTAAATAACAACTTCCTCCACACCGACTAATAAAAATGTTTTCTCCATTTTTTTTTAGTATCGGGTAAAAAATTTAGCAGTGAATATAACGTGATTTTAATTCTTTGAGAAAGAGACATTCTGACGGCTGTTTTTTAAAGCCTCAAAGCGATCAATATTTTTTGAGAATCAGATAAAAAATTTAGATTTTTGGTTATTGACATTATTCATTGGTGGTGGGAGTATAGTTGTAGGGCCTGTGAGTGGGCTGCTAGGGCTGGCCACTGATGGGGTTTCATGGCTAGGGTTCGGGCTGTACCTGTACTTGTAGTCAGGGTGTTCCTTCATGTGCACCGCTCGAAGTCTCTTCGCCTCGTCGATGAACGGCCTCTTCTCCGTCTCTGAAAGGAGCTTCCATTCTGCTCCGAGGCGCTTGGAGATTTCCGAATTGTGCATTTTGGGGTTTTCCTGCGCCATTTTGCGCCTCTGGCCTCTGGACCAGACCATGAAGGCGTTCATAGGGCGTTTGACGCGCTCGGCGGCGGCGTTGGAGGAGGAGGCGCTGCTCTTGCTGTTGCTACTGTTGCTGCTGGTGTTGTTGGAGGAGTTGTTGTTGTTGGTGCTGCTGTTGTTGTTGTTGGTGGGGGTTGGGACGTGGGTCTGCGGCGGGGAGTGGGCGCTCATCGTCCCGACGGAGGCCAGGGAGGGAGTGGATAGGGACGAGGAGAGGGACGAGTTGAGGGACGTGAGGGACGAATGGTGGGAGAGGGAGTACGTGTGGGAGTGGGAGTTGTGGTGGGCGTGGGGGACGGAGTGGGTGGAGTGGGTGGTGTGGGGCGGCAGGTGGGAAGAGTGTAAGCTGCCGCCCTTGAGGTCCGGAGGGTCGAGGGTGAGCATGGTGGAGGGTTTGAGCGCCGCGCTGCTATAGTACTCCAGTGTTGCGGCTTCCCGGGGCTCCTTGTAGCTCACAGTGTCGTGTCTACCACTGCCGCTACGCCACCGGCGCTCCCACACGCTCCTGGCTCCCTCCACCGCCGTGAGCTGGTCAGCGCCCGACGCCAGGGCACTGAACGACGTGACGCCGGCAATGGTGACTTAGTCGTCGGAGAACGCCCAAGATAAGCACTCTTAAAAAAAACACGCGTTTTCTAGCTTGCCGTATTGCTAGACGTAGCGGCACAGTTAGCTAGTTACAACACCACTTGTTGTCTCCACTCTACACTATTCACTGTATTGTCGCTGGAGTAACGCGGGTCACATGAATGCCACAACAGAGAGCGCTCTATACACGTCCGTTCACTGTGAAAGCCCTCTATTATTTACCTTTAATTTGGCTCCGACTCGGGATGTGTTATCGATTGACTAAACTCCACCATCCACGCAGCCCGGCCAATCAGCGCGCGCCTTGATCCTCCCCCAACAACCCGCCGGCCAATCAGAGAGAGGCTCCATCCTTCCCCAACAACCCTCTGGCCAATAGGGTGCCGGCGCCTCGTGACGTCACACAAGGGGGCGGGCCAATCACATTTTTCTTCGTGTATTAGGAGAGGCAAGTCCCAGCAAGGGAGTACTTGTACGAAATACACGATGAAGGGAAGAATCATACATACCTATACACACATGGCTGTATGGAGCTTATTAACCCCTCAGTCCGCCCTTCACAGGCTCTCACATACGACACTCGGGGCAAAGATGGCTGCCTGAAGGTTGCCTGAAGCCTGTAACAAAGAATCCCAGTCCTTCGGAGCCTCCAGGCTTTGCGGATAATGTAATAACACTCAACCTCCTCTGCCGGCGTACTTATCACTCCTCCTCAGCTATCGGAACCTGATATCAGGTTTATGATATCCGGGCGGGGGTTTTTAGGCTGTCTAGGGCCGGATGCTCTCCCTCTCTCACTAGGACCCCGAGGTCTTACGTGCCTCCAGAACTACCAGCCTCACCCAGCCATATTCATGGTCTAGAGATTGACAATTTTTATGAATTTTCCCCCGACTACTGACCGCTGCTGATGGCCAGATTGAGCTGAACACAGCTGGCTCTAGCCGGCAACCCCCCCTCCATCTTCCTGCCACTTGCCATCTACCTCTATCCCAGGCCTCCCCCCTATTTTTACATATACCCCTTTGCCTCTAGCCTCCTATCCCTCCCTCTCTGGCTTGTGCCGCCGACGGATCCGCTTCTCCGGCAATCACTGGTCTGGATATTACAAGAGTCGGGTCCCGCCGAGCCTTGTACTAGAGGATAGAGGAATGTGCAGTCAACTCACAAGTCAGGACGGCCATGGGTCCGCCCACCATCCTCATTGGTCCCCGCCTATCCCGTGACGTTCCCGAAATCAGTTTTGTCGGCAGCCAATGGGAGGCAGCGGGGGGAGGGACTCCGCCTCGAAATTGAATTTCTGCAACTTGGGCCCGATTTCATCCACCAATTTCCCCCAGCTTAATTAGGGGGTTAGTAAATAAAATAGGCACTTAAAATGTTAAATCTTATGATGGTTCATGTAATCACAGGGGTGCCCAGAGTGTGGGATTTGCTAGTTTATTGTTTGGAAGCGGAGAAAGGGATTCTTCGGGAGGGGGGGGAGGGGAGGGATGGAAGTTGAAGGCGCGTCTCCGAGTCTAGCCGAAGAATTTGAGGCCCCATTAAGCCAGAAACACCCCCTACCCCCCCAGCCCATTCGAACAATGGCGCATACGCGTATAAATCACAGCAACAAGTAATTTATACAAACCAATCGCTAATCTCCGCCCTTCCCCACAATGAAGGGCCAAGGAGGTCCCTGTGATTGAGGCTAAAGACCTCAATAGGTTCGAAACCTCCTCGACAACTCTTCAGCGATGGTGCTCTGTCATCGAGGTAAACCTACACGCACACATACACACACACATACACACACACACACACACACACGCACACACACGCGCACATACACGCCTCGATACGCACACGTACCGGGTGCCAGCACTGGAGAATTGTGTTTATGGTTGCTATTACTCACATACGCGGCGATGTATGCATACATACACACAGGTATACATCTACACGCACGTACATGGGAATATGTACACATGGGCGGCCGTACGACCCGAGAAACATTACTCTCACACATACACAATCATACGTACACACGGTCACACATGCACAGGTATAAATACACACGTACATAGACATAATTATACTTACACACATCTCTACACGAATAAATACACATTTTCATACATAAGTATACATATACATTCATACACATAGGTATACATGCATACACGTATTCATACGCGCAAGTATACATATGCACACAAGAACGTATACATTTCTACTCGGAAGTATACATACACACAAATGAGTATACATGCATACATCTCTCTACACACACACAAACAAAAAGAAATATACATGCTTACATTTCTACAGACATGCATACAAGTATACATACACATCATTATACAAACAAGTGTAAGTACAGCCTTTTCTAAATACACATGTATACTTCTACAAACACGTACACATGCATAAATGAATATTTTATCAACTATACAACCTGTATGTATACTCCACTATGTATACTCCTTTCATCTTTTCTATTCTCTATTCTTCCATCTTTCTCCTCCTCCCCTTTATTCCCACTTCCCCCTCATTTCCCCTCTTTACCCATTCCCTGGTTTCCTTCCCCATTTCCCCAAGTGATGGAGTTTGTCTGCTAATCCCTCCATCCCTCCTCTTCCTCTTCCTCTTCCTCCTCCTCCTTCTCCTCCTCGTCCTCCTCTTCCTCCTCCTCCTCTCTTCCACACTTACCTTTCCACTCTTCCTTCCATTCTTCCCCCATATCCCTCCCACCCATCACCTTCCCATTCATTAACCTTTCCCATTTCTCTATTCCTATTCCTCACTTGCATTTCAACTCTCTTCCCTTTCTTCCTCCTTTCCCCATTCTTTCCTCCTCCATCCATCCCTTCCCCTGTCATTCTCCTCCCATTTCCTTACACATTCTCCTTCCATTTTTTGCCTCTTCTCTCATTCCCTGGCCATTCTCCTATTGCCTACTCCCTCTTCCTCCCATTTCCCACTTTTTCCCCTTTCATACTCCCATTTCCTTCTCCCTTTTCTTCCATGCCCCTTTCTCTCCCACTTATTCCACCCGTCTCATCCCATTACCTTGCATATTTCCCTACCATTTCCTGTCCCATTTCTCCATTCCTCACTTTAGTTCCCTTTCCCCATTCCTTTCTACACCCCATTCCATATAAGAGACGAATGGGTGTCCGGCAGCTGTTATTACTGTCTCACAACCCACTACCTGACAGCCTCCTGTTTCCTGACAGCTTCCTGTCACCTGACAGCCTTCTGTCATCTGACAGCCTTCTGTCACCTAACAGCCTTCTGTCACCTGATAGCCTTCTGTCACCTGATAACCTTCTGTCACCTGACAGCCTTCTGTCACCTGACAGCCTTCTGTCATCTGACAGCCTTCTGTCACCTGACAGCCTTCTGTCATCTGACAGCCTTCTGTCACCTGACAGCCGTCTGTCATCTGACAGCCTTCTGTCATCTGACAGCCTTCTGTCACCTGACAGCCTTCTGTCATCTGACAGCCTTCTGTCACCTGACAGCCGTCTGTCATCTGACAGCCTTCTGTCACCTGACAGCCTTCTGTCACCTGACTGCCTTCTGTCACCTGACAGCCGTCTGTCACCTGACTGCCTTCTGTCACCTGACTGCCTTCTGTCACCTGACAGCCTTCTGTCGCTGTGGATAGACACTGGGCGCTGGAACAGAAGAAACAGAGGAGGGAGGGATGGTGGTACAGAGAACACACACACACACACACACACACACACACACACACACACACACACACACACACCCCAAACACACACACACACACACACACACACACACACACACACACACACACACACACACACACACACACACACACACACACACACAGCAGTGTGCCAAGGAATCACCATCAGCAGAGTGCGTGATGGCGGTTATAGGGATGTATGCGCACAGCTAGAGCGCATGGACCTTCAACTGCGCACAGTACCGACGTGTACAGTGGGGGTAAGACTCCCATAATGTATGCGCACCCATCACCGCACGGGTTATAAACATGCGCAGTTTTTATCTTGACTGCGCATTGTTCTTCTTGTAGAATATTGAGAGCGGCGCTGAAATGCGCAGTTATAAGTGACGATGTGCGCTATGTTATAATTATTATTATTTATATTATTATTATTATTATTATTATTATTATTATTATTATTATTATTATTATTATAATATTCAGCAGGGAAGTTCTAAATCTGTTGGGCAGCAAGCAAGTTTGATGCGAGGAAGGAGAGAGAGAAAGAGAGAGAGAGAGAGAGAGAGAGAGAGAGAGAGATAGAGAGCATCTCTACTTCCTAGGATCAAGAACCCTCCTCCCCCCCCCTCCACCAGCATCAAGACTGCCGTAAAGATGTGACCGACAACAGAGGACACTGTTAACACCTGTTGTTGTCACCTGTTATCAAACAGTAGCAGTTGTTGCTGTTAGCGGACGGAGGACCGAGCCTTGCAGCGTCCACGAGGTTTGAAGCCTGTCTACCACACAAAGGCCATTAAGCATGCACAAAACATTGCAAGCTCCTGATGATGTGTTGATTGCAACAGGAAAGGCCTAGAGCTATCATTCAACTTCCCCCTGTTGTTGTTTGCATCACACACACACACACACACACACACACACACACACACACACACACACACACACACACATATATATATATATATATATATATATATATATATATATATATATATATATATATATATATATATAGATAGATAGATAGATAGATAGATAGATAGATAGATATAGATACATTAGATAGATAAGGAGATAGAATACAATGTCGACTGACCGATAGACAGTTGTACATACACAGAAACCAATTAAAAAAATGGCCTGAAAGGTCCATTTCCTTTCATTTTCGACCATTTTTTCCAGTTTGGAAAAAAAAAAACAGAATTGAAGTGTAAAAAGCGAGGGACAAATATTTGTATTTAATAAGAAATATACACAGAGAAATAAATTCTCTATTTTACTGACGTAGGACGCGGAATAAATTCCTCCCGCAAAACACTGCAATAAATCGAATAAATCGAGTTTCATTTTAGAAAAAGTAAATAAATGGAAAATTTCTGAGTAATAAAAACAAACGTAACAGATTTTTTTTTTAATTTATTTTAACGATGAATAAAACATATATGTTAATATGTTTTTTTAATTGGTTGATTATATTAGTTTATTGGTTCATATTATTGTGATATTGATTTATAATTTTATTATATAAATAATATTATATTAACGAATAATAATATTATATTAATGAATAATAATATTATATTAATGAATAATAATATTATATTAATGAATAATAATATTATATTAACGAATAATATTATATTAATGAATAATAATATTATATTAATGAATAATAATATTATATTAATGAATAATAATATTATATTAATGAATAATAATATTATATTAATGAATAATAATATTATATTAACGAATAATAATATTATATTAATGAACAATAATATTATATTAATGAATAATAATATTATATTAATGAATAATAATATTATATTAATGAATAATAATATTATATTAATGAATAATAATATTATATTAATGAATAATAATATTATATTAATTAATAACAATATATTAAAAACAATAATATTATGTTAAATAACAATATATTATTAACAATATTATTATATTAATTAATGATGTTATTATAATAATTAATAATATTATTAAACTAAATAATAATATTATTAAACTAAATAATAATATTGTATTAATTAATGATGTTATTATATTAATTAATATTATTATACTACTAATAATATTATATTAACGAATAATAATACTATGATAATATTTAATAATAATTAATGAATAATAATATATTAAATAATAATGAATAATGTTATATTTAACAACAATAATATATTAAAAAAAATATTGTATTAAATAATAATAATAATAATAATAATAATAATAATAATAATAATAATAATATAATACGAATAATATTTCTGGAACTGGTTCACAGCAAGGAATAATAATCCTTATATTCATTAACAGTAAAGGTTTATATTCCTTGCTCATTACCTGGTTATTGTATTACCTTGTTGTGTTAAGGTTACTGTATTAAGGTTACTGTATTAAGTTATTGTGTTAAGTTATTGTGTTAAGTTATTGTATTAAGGTTACTGTATTAAGTTATTGTGTTAAGTTATTGTATTAAGGTTACTGTATTAAGTTATTGTGTTAAGTTATTGTGTTAAGTTATTGTATTAAGGTTACTGTATTAAGTTATTGTGTTAAGTTATTGTGTTAAGTTATTGTGTTAAGTTATT